GAGCCAAGACTAAGAATTTTAAATTGAAATTATTTACTTTTTTTTTCTTTTTTGGGGGGCGAGGGAGGGAGGAACAGAGTCTCACTTTGTTGCCCTTGGTAGAGTGTTGTGGTGTCATAGCTCCCAGCAACCTCAAACTCTTGGGCTCAAGTGATGCACTTACCTCAGCCTCCCTAATAGCTGGGACTACAGGCATCCACCATAACTCCTGGCTATTTTTAGAGATGGGGTCTTGCTCTGTCTCAGGCTGCTTTCGAATTCCTGAGCTGAAACAATCGACCAGCCTCAGCCTCTCAAGAGTGCTAGGATTGGCTCGTTGCCTATAGCTCAGTGGCTAGGGCACCAGCCACATACACCTAGCCTGCCAAACAACGGTGACAACAACAGAAAAAATAGCTGGGCATTGTGGCGAGCACCTGTAGTCCCAGCTGCTTGGGAGGCTGAGGCAAGAGAATCACTTAAGCCCAAGAGTTTGAAGTTGCTGTGAGGTATGACACCACAACACTCTACCAAGGGCGACATAATAAGACTTTAGCTCAAAAAAAAAAAAAAAGTGCTGAGATTACAGGCATAAGCTACTGCATCTGAGCTAAAATTACTTACTTTCTGGAAAAGGCTCTGTATTAGGAGTACCATGGATGCTGTTGAAAAGAAGTGAATGATAAAGGAAGACTATTAGGTAGCTTAATGGTTTTTGTACTAAGTTCTGAGAAAATCCTCTATTGACATTACATTACTGAAGGTGATCAGATGGGTACATTACATTTTTTTGGTACTTTTTCTTTTAAGTACTTGAAACAGTTTGAAATCTTTTCCACTAATGAACTTTTCTCTTTTAGTGTCACTTAGTATAACTTTATTTTTCTTTTTCTTAGGAATCTCAGCAGTCCAATTTTGGCTCTGGAGAACAAAGTGAGTCTTTCTTTTCTTCTTGATTTTCAAGTTAAGCTATTTATTGAGCATTCAGTTCTCATGGTCGCCTCATACACTGCTTCAATAATTTTTTTCTGTGTCTTATTTTTATGATCTAAAGAATATAAAGCGTTGAGTTCAATTTTGATATGCTTAAAAAATTAAGGGGAATAAAGCACATTATGTGGGTGATAGGAACTCTTATAACTTTGGTTTACACCATATAAAAGCGATTCATGTAGCCAAAACATTTGTACCACTGTAATGTAATTTAAAAAATATCAAGAACTAGGCCATTGGAGATCAAAAAACACTATTTTTATTGAATATATAAATTAATAGTTGAAAGTTCATGAAGTGAATTTGTAGGGACCTTAGGGGCCATTCTTTTGTCTTTTCACTTCCTTCATGAAGATACTTGGTTTTATGATGGTAAAACTTTAAAGAAAACATTTTAGCTGACCATTCCTCCTCTTTATATTATTTATTCTTCCTTGGTCTTCCAGTCTGGACAGAAAATCTGCTTCACCCTACCCTCCCTTGATTTCTCAGAAGAATTTCAAGGGAAAATAGTCTCAGGGAATTCATATATGGTCCTAGAAGATGGTGACTATGTAAACTGATAGTGGTTAGGAGCCTTGGCAGTCTAGGGTTCACCATATAGCATTATAACAAAACAGATACTTTTTTGCCAAGATAAGGCAGATTTATACTGTTTGCAAGATATTTTGAGAGATGGAAATATAGAACTTTTTGATCCTTAGCTCGTTATCTTCAGTGATCTTTTTTTTGTTTGTTTGTTTTGCAGTTTTTTTAGCTGGGGCTGAGTTTAAACCCAACACCTCTGGCATATGGGGCCGGTGCCCTACTCCTTTGAGCCACAGGTGCTACCCATCTTTCGTGATCTTAACACAAAGAGATGAAACTAGAATAATATCTCTTTTAATGTTAAGCCTTCTTTTTGTGTACATCCATTCCTTAGTTCTTGAAGCTGTTACGGGAAAAAGGGACCTGACATTGTTGGTATGCATAAAATAGCAAGATATAGCCTATAAACATATGTATATGTATGTGTGTCTTCCTCAAGATATGTTTGTAAGTTAAGTTCTTTTTATTGGAATCGCTTGGTCAATAGCAGTATAGTTACAGTATTGATAAGATATTACCAGATTATTCTCCTAAAAGATTGTGTGAGTTTATAGTGCTACCAACAGCATATGAACGTGGCTGTTTACTTCCCCTATACTCAACCAGTATCTCTTTATTATTACACTTGAAAATGTTGCTCATTTGACGGATAAAGATTCATATCTCATTGTTTTTATTTATATTACTTTGACGATAGATATTCTATAGACATTTTATAATTTAAATAGCAGTATGTTACTTATTCCTACATTTTTTTGTTGTTGTTCTAGAAAGATACAATCCTTCTAAAACTTCAAATGGGCACCAGTCTAAATCGTAAGTTTATTGCTCAATAAGTTTAATTCTTGTCCTTTTTGCCAAAAGTTATCTATAATATCTGGATATTTTGGACAATTTTTAGAGATATTAATCTTTTAAGGCTGAGGTAAGCAAACTTTGATGTAAAAAGATCAGTTAGTGAAGCATTTTAGGCTTTCAAAGCCAAATGGTATATGTCCTAGCTATTCCACTATCAGATGAAAGCAACCATAGACCATAAGTATGACTGTGTACCAACAGAAGTTGTTTTTTATAGGCTTGGCGCCAGCCACATACTCCTAAGATGGTGGGTTCGAATCTAGCCCGGGCCCACCAAACAACAATGATGGCTACAACCAAAAAATAGC